GTGCGCGGTGCAGTACTGGGTAATAAAACATATACAAGCGTTAGTTGGCGTCCTACACTAGCTGCGTAGAGCGTATCGTTTTTTTACGCTCCCAATGAGCGTTGTTGGCTCTCTTGTTCTATTTATACTCTTTGATATTTCTCACGACGGCTTAAGACTGTCCCCGACGATAAATCGGGTCGGGCTGCGTCGGCCGACGCTGTCTGAGTTGGCCTTTAGAGACCAAAGCAGCTAAAGACCATGGGATCCATAGTCCCAAAAGAGTGGTCTTTAATTGGAGGGAGAGTTGTATTCTATTTTGATTAGATGTTTGTGTTGGTAAATATAATTTGTAATTCAACTTCATGCTCCTGTGTTTTATATTTTGATATTTTTCTATTAACTACTAGTAATTACACCATAAATATGTCGCTCAGTTAGCTTATATACAATTGTTTAGTAGCCCTATTAATACTATTATATGACGGAAAGAGTAACAAAAGAGAATGGATCGAAGATAGAGTAAAAAAACAGCAACAAGGTTGTCATAATGGAGTCATTGTTGGCAAATGCATTTAATATCCATAAATGTAATTGCATTTTAACACCTTAGCTGCAGTGAATACCTGCGTGTATACACTGCTGACATTTGGGATGTGACAGCGGGTATAAACTAGTAAAGTAAATTACTGAACAACTATTTAAACAGATATCATCCATAACAACTGACACAAATACGTCTTTGTTAATTGAAAGCTTCTTTTATTCAATTTTGCCAACAAGAACTTTGGAAGACTATCAATTTTCCACCAAAAACAACAAAGATGACAGATTTTTTAAACAGTAACAAAATAGGTTGTTGTATTTTCTTGAAAATAAAACCTTAAGTTTGTTAAAATGTAACAAAAAACATTTTTCTTGTAATTACACATTTAAATTAAATAAAAGTAACAGAACACTTTTTATCTTTACCAATTATGGGTTCATTAAACTCAATTTTTATATAAACAACTTTAAAAGAAATTTTTTTAAAACAAATTTAAAATCAATTTTTTTAAAAAGAAATTTTCAAAATAATATACATATCACCTTTCAAACTTAAAAAACGCTATTTTAATTAAGACGCCATTGCACATTCTCATTAAAACCATAAATTTGAGTTGCGTGCGAATTATACTGCAAACATATTAAAATTAACATTAATTTCAAGTAAACTATTAACAATAAAGGAGTACACACAATGTTGATGCTTGTGAAATGCATGAATCTAATACAAGGGATGGGACATGAATGCAGGAATATGAATTGTTAAAGAATATAGATAAGAAGTGATGGGAGAAGAAACCAAATGTGTAGGAAGGGGTGCTGAAGAAAGGAGATGGAGAGGGAAGGAACTCTGGGTTAAAATAATTTGTGAATTGCTATGTTTTTTTAACGCTGCATTCACATTGCACACGGAACACAGTTGTTCGGGTTAAGTACGTATGCGTTCGATTGCTTCGAACCAACCAAGTTTGTTGCTGATTTGTCCAAGATTTCAGGATACAAATGGCTCTCAGATCCATCGGTCCGGATCTGGACTCCGGATTGAAAATCATACAAATTTGATGTGAACGTTCCTATTCTTTACAACTGATCCAATTTTTCATGATTTTTTCTCCAGACCGGAATCCGGGCTTGATGTGAACGTAGCTTTATCCAGACGTGGGAAATTCTTCCTTGAACCCTGCTGGCACTTCTACTAAGAAGGTGGGAAACTAGATTGAAGGGGCTGGGATAGGGATCAACTGTCAAAATGTTTGTCGATTTTTATAAAAATGTGTATGTGAAAGACAACATGAAAGACTAGAATTACAAAATTTCAATTCCAAATTGGTCAAGACATCAACACTCTAAAATAAGATGTATCGGTACAAACACAAGGCACTTCAAGTAATTGATACCATGAGCTATTGCTATCTCTTGCGATCAGAACATGCTTAATTAACTCCAGGAAGCTTCATTTATAACAGTCAAAATAAGAAACTGATTACTGTAATTGTATAAATCCTTATTTATCACTATTATTATCAAAACAGCATATTGTACAGCAGAAAAAGATCATTATTTACAAATCAGAATTCAGTTCTTATAATAAAACATTAGTTATTACTATTATTACATTTCTTAAAGCATGCCACCTACAGTATTGAACATTTTACATTGAGCATACTTTGTGATTATCAGATTCGCAACCTTAGAATTTATTCATATAGTATATCTTTCATCAGATAAAAAATGCAATGATGATGATAAATAACATTAAGAACAACTGGAAGTAACGATCCAACTCTAACATGTTGTAATACTTGAACAATATAACAATAATATTAGCTCGGAGGTTATTACTGTATAATTAAAACGGCTTAATATACAAAAACTTCATAAAATTGTAGGCACATTTAACAATATTAGCATTATTATTATTATTAATTATAATATAATAATAATAATAAGGTTAATATATTAATAATAAAATAATCATTACCAACAATTGTAAAGTAAATATACCAAAACCAGTTAAAGTTCTTTGAACAGTTACAGTATTAATAATATTGTAGTTACCACAATAATAAGCATAATAATAAATCATTACAAAACTAATAATAAAATTAATAATATACATATAATAATTAACATTCTATTAATAATTATTATTAAAACATAATTATGATATATACAGTATTATCATTAATGTTATTAGTAACATTAGTTAATGTTATTAGTATCATTAGTATTAGTATTATCATTAATGTTATTAGTATTATTTTATATTATTATCATCACAACAAAAATAATCTGCAATTTTCAAACAATTATACAAATGTTTACAAAACTACAACACCTCCAGTGAATAAATGCAAATTGAGCATCAAATACAATGCAGGGTGCAGCACACAGAATACCAATGTTGACGGATCAGCTTGACGCCTGTAAATATTCCTAACAATTTTTCAATAAATAATTTAAGAATTTAGGTGTATAGTTCAGTTCATCCAGGTTGGATTCTGTAAGTTGGCTAGTGATGTTTTTTATACTTAGGCTGTGAATGCAATAATTATAGGCCATTGCTACAGTATACAATGGTTTAAATCAGCTGGCTACTGTAGATATTTCAGCCTGCTACACAGAGGTTATTGAAATGATTATCAATATGGATTCCTGTGTGAACGTTGACAAGTAATTTAAAAAAGGAGGGCGCTTTGCAGAAGTGCCTATACCATTATTGTGCCCAAGTTTAACAGCTTTGTTTTTCTTCATATTTTCATTGTACTCATCAGCAAGTAACACACATTATAATAGACTTGGGCAATAAAAGAAAATTGTAATTTTTAGTATTTCAATACAATGGTCTAATACAGTGGTGACTATAAGACCATCTAAGAAACAAACCTGGCTATTATTGACTAATTAAAACTACCTCCTTAACTACACTTTTAAGACCATTTTACAGCACTCTTCTCCCCAGAAACAACAATATCAAAATGATTGGTATAGATACAAAAAAGAAATCTCTATATCGACAGTCATAATTATTTCATAGCAACAATGTCTTGCATACAGACTTCAAGTAATAAAAAGGTTAACTGCATGAATAATAAAAAATATATACTGTACAATATTATGACTAACAGAGAAAGAGGGCACTTTGAGTCACTGTATTAAAAATCCTACTTCTAAAGCTGACAACTGAGACCTTGTTGAAAAGGCACTATTCTCTAATGTATCTAAATCTATATCAAGGCATTACCAATTCATTTGAAAAGACTGATAAAATGTAAAATTTTGAAGAACCTTCCTATGCATAGATAGCTTACTACCAGTACAACACTTTTTCTGATTTTTATTATTATTATTATTATTAATTTTTTCCTGGTTTAATTTAATTAATTTGCTTATGTTAAAGATCAAGTTTAATTTTTATACTTATGTTTTAATTGTATGTACTGAGGGTCCCAATTGATCAGCTCAGGCTGGATGGACCACCCTCACAAAATATTGTTAAAATAAAATAAATAAATAAATAAAAGTAACACACAATACTGAATATTTAATTAAGATACCCCAACATTTGTCAATTAAAACAAGTAAAACAATTATGTAGTACAAATTTAATAAAATATGCATATCATTGAGCTTAAATACAGAATAATAAGGTGGATAATACTTCTTTTTGAAGTACTGAACCATTTTGGTTTGAATGGGAATTTGATTTCAAGGTACAGTACATTTTAACAACCAGCAAACATTTCCACTACACTCACTGTTAATTTCAAAATGTGTCAATTTCCTAATTAGTAACAATGCCTATACTTGCCTAAAATTCCGCAGCGGAAGGAAGGCAGTGGAAGCGCACATTAAATCTGTACAGTACATGGAGGAATTATTAACAGTTAGTCGATGCCTGTCATGTCACAGGGTATTGTACAGGATTGTATACAGAGGGGTATGTTGGGGAACAGGAACAGAGCATACTTATTATGAATATAGTACCAATACAATGATTTTGCAAATTTTCATGCTCAGATCCTCCTCCCCACGAGATCCGCCACTGGCAAGATCTATCCTACAGTAGTAAGAATTTGTTTTTATAATCAATCGGCTATTGATTGACCTTGGCCTATGAAATGGGTGTGGTACTCCTAGTACAGAACTGGGAATTCCAAGTGCTTCAAAACTAACTGTCTTTTGCACTATAAAAATGTTATTTATTATTATTATTATCATCATCATTATTATGCTCTAGATTACATTAAACATGTTTCAAAAAGAATAGTTTGAAAAATGCTTTTGTTGTGCATTTGAAATTGGAGGCGCTTTGTAAAATTTGGATATTATCCCAAAAAAAAAAAAAACAACTGCAGTTGTATGCAAATTATTTGCACAATCCGAAGTTTGGTTTTGAATTTCTGATCTTTGAACTTTATTGTCAAAATCAAAGAGAAACCTAAAATCCTGGAGTGAATCCTGCCACCACTGACTGTAACAATATCATTAAACAATAGAAGGATGAAATATTGTCATACAGAGGTACCTGTATTATACAAATTTACTGGAGTGATAACTCCAATGCAAAGCTTTCTCCTGCAAAATGTCATGGTTTCAAAGAGTTGTAACTAAATTTACTACATTGCACATTTGAATGGTGTATTTCCATATTCAAACTTATGGGTGCACACAATGTCAATTTTTAATTAAAAAGAATTATGACATTTTCATACATGCGCAATTCTGAGCGACAAAAAAGCTTACTCTAGCCAATTCTGGATGGTGATGTTCTTGTTCAAAAACGCATTTTGGCGATATGAGACAAAATGCTCATTTTACCAAGTCTAGTTAGCACTCTAATTCGTTATCTCTATGGATACTATGTGCCATTTGAGAGTATGAAATACAAGAGATTAGATGAAAATACCAAACCCATAAAATATCGTCAATGAGGTCATGGTAAGTATAGTAGCAGTACACAGGAAGGCCAATAGAGAGAAATTTGAATCTAAATGCACTTTACATTGATCAGTGTATAAATATATATACTACAAAATTTAATGACAAGTACCAACAAGTCGTTGTATTCATTAATAAAATTATCATTGCATAATAAAACATTACGAATGTTTATTTATTTTATGAGAAGAGAATTTACAGTTATGTATAAAGCCATTACCATCCCTCTGATTGAAGTAAATACAAAATCAATAAATAAATTATTTTATTTTAACTGGCCAACATACAGTATACCAATAATTCTATAAAAATAATTTGAATATAAATAAATGGGAAGGTTGAAAACCTCAAACTGTGTAATTTGACCTCATACAGTACTGTACAAGAAATATTATGGACTTAAACCATCAAATAACCATTATCGTAAAATAGAAATCTTTTCAATTACAAATGAAAGGCATGGGTTTTACTGCAATTTCAGTTATTTACTTGAAACAGCATTGAGAATATTATTAAGGCACTTGGCACAAGGATACAGACAATTGATGTTCAAGGTATTCAATGACATCACTGGCTTGTGTTATACATCTTGCTGCCTCTTGAACTATATATACAGATGGCGTACCAAATCCAACACAGGACAGACGGATCACAGTCCATTGTCTTGAAAACATTTAAAATATCTTCTGCTCACGTCAATGTCGGTTCTCAGATTGATCTTTTGAGTAATGCTCCCTCACTGAAAATTCTTTTTTTATAACAATAATCTTAATAATTTTATTATGGGCCTGGGTGAAATATATTCAATAAATTGATTCCGATTTATTTTTTAATAAAAATCAGAATATGTCATTATTTTGTGACACCATATTTGCAGAAACCTCAAATTTACGATTTAGATTCTTTTTAGAGTCTTGTAAAACCAGGCATTTTTCTGCTTTCATTATTCAGCCTCGTCGCAAAGAAACAATAGCTGACGATGCTCAGTACAAGTATCAACGATGGCCAGAACATACTGTGGAACACCATCATACGACTGACACTTTGATTAATTATAACCTCACCACCTGTGTTGGGATTGTAGAAACAAGCGTATGAACTGCCCTCCTTGTATTTTTCAGCGAAAGCAGAGGCTTCAAAGTTAGGATCGCTTCCTACATATTGGTAAGAGTCGCACAGCGGGTAGGAACACTGAAATGTAAAGAAAATTAACATATAGTAACATTGGCTTTAAACACAAAATGAAATTATGTAAGATGCCAAGGCAATTACAATACTTGCATGAAAAACAAAGTAGAGTACAAAACAAAACTGAAATTTTTGGAAAGGAAAAGCATACATTAATAATTTGCCAATACAGTACAGTAATTATGAATGGATAAATGAATGAAAATAGAAATGAAAATTACAGCAATATGGGAAAAAATTATGAAGAAATGTATGAATAAAGAATGAATACAAAAGGATGAAGGAAGAAATGATGAGTATGGAGGAAAGTATATGAAGGAATGAAACTGAAAAGAAATTAATAAAATACAAGAAATAACAAACATTACTTTGCCAATAATCCATGTAATTTATTGATATCATACAGTATCAAATTTATCTATATCCAACATATTTATGATATTTATATTTGTGTATCAAGCATTTGGTATTTTGTTTATTGGGACGTTATATGTCTATTGTCTTCTGTGTTATGGATAATTTTTTGTACTGGTAATCATATACAGTACAATAAAATAATCAATAGTTGATCACATAATGGAATGGCTAATTGTTGGGAGGTACACAATCACAGGTACCCTCACAATGCTGACTGAAGTCCACAATATATTGGAATTTAATCAATCAATACCAAATTCCGGTTTGTACATGTTTGAATTGCAACACATTATATTGCATCATATTGGCCTCCATTTATATAAAAACCTACAGTAGTTTCACAATACTTTCACTATAATAAAAATTTATTAGTGGCATAAGGTTACAGAAAACAGAATGACAATTCTACACACAAAGCTTGCACTGTGTTTGGCAGTACTCTGGGTCTAATAGAATCAAAGTCAAAGTTACAATGAACACAATGGACAGTATTCCTGATGATGACATAATTAATGTTGAAATATTGAATCCCAACACGATAGATGTATTTCAATACTTGTGGAATAAGAATTATAATTTCTTATCTGAGATTAATCAGTGGAACTTTTGGATGGTATATTCCATTATATAGTATTATATACCTACAGTAAAATCTAATTTAAAAATACAGTTAATTAAAAAACAAGTTTTTCTCACCCCACCCTCTCCCATCCCTTTTCAACTGGCTATTTTTCAAAACTCTAGAGTGGCATTACTCCACAACTAATTGGCCATTCAGTTACTGATTCCCAACTGTGTTTACTGTACAGGTACGGTACTGTTAATAAACTGTGTAACAGTAAACTGTCATTTTCTCAGAGCATCAAGTAGTAATATTAATTAAGGACTTTGAACCTTATTATTAAATAAATGAATCTTTACAAATGATAAATGAACAGTTTGTCACCAAACCCGAGACTTAAAGGGGAAATCAATAGAAATAATGCAATGTACTAACAACATAAACTCCTCTAACAATGGACTGAAACTTATGCCACTGGGAAGCTGATGAGGTAGAATTGGAGACAATAGTTGGGCAGCCAGCTGGGCTAGATTCTGGTGGAACAAACAAAAGATGTGTGGACTTCTGAACATATGCCTTTTCATGCCTGTTCATGGTACAGTTGATCAGGTTAATGAAATAATTATAATTAAGGTTTAGTAATATTAATGAAGCCAATCAACACTACAGTAATATTACCTAGATTGCTTTTTAGGAATAAGAAGAAACTCTCTTCCAGAAACTAATTAATTCTTGTTTCAAAATATCAGGGTACAACTCATCTTGTACAATAACATGATTTACTAACGAGGGAATAATAGTCACAAAAGTGGCAATACAGTATAATGACAACAAAAGTAGCAACAATAATAAATGCAAAAATAAACTTAATAATTTTTTTTTTAAATATTTAAGTAATATATTTTTGTAGTAGGTCTACTAGACTATCACATGTCTACTAGACTATCACATTACTACTATTTTGTTCATTTACCTTTTTTTTTAAAGAATGTATTATATAGTTAGATTAATTCAAAAAGTGATATTGCAGGATTTGAACACAGGACCCTGGGTTGGAAGACAAGTACCTTAAAATCCAAGCACCCATCCCTTGCAATAATTAGTGAGTAGGATAACAAAAAAAAATCCTACTGATCAACCATTTAAAAAACAAGAAACTCTAAAAATAGAATATGATCTTTCACAAGGCCATATTTGTAGACATCATATTAGAACAATAATATTAACAATATTAACTATAACAATAATTAAAAAATATAAATAATATTTAATAATAATATTATACTAATAATATAATATTAAAAATAACAATTAATATCAATTAAATAATAATAATAAATAGTAAACAATATGAAACAATCAGAAAAAAAAAATTTAACAATGTACATGTAGTTAATACGTTGTTGGAATATGTTGTATTCAGAGCAAAAATACAAATAATTCATTTGGCTATAAAGTGTTATAAATGTACACAGTACCTCTCCAGTATGCCTCAATAATCGAATCGAACCATAAGATAGTTTACCTGAATTAAATTAAATGTATTCTTGCAGGAATCACACAAAGCGTAAATATAACATAAGATCCATTACGATAATGAGTCATAGGTTTGAACAATAATCTTGCATGACTTAACCAACAGATTTCTAGCGAAATTAACACAAAGACATACACAGTAATGGCGAGGCTTTTAGATCTGGCATTGTTTAGTTAGTGTACAGTTACAATGGTATACAATGTCTGCGATCGCCACAAAAACCCCTACAATACAGTAGTAGAAAATGAAATGATCTGACAAAGTACAGTAGTTTGATCAGTTTTAACAACCCAACCTTAAGACAAAATATGAAAAAAAAAATTAAATAAACATATAAAACATGTTTTAGGTGTAAATATATCTGTAATCTAATTATTATAAAATGAAAATATATATCTCTAACCACACACCTGCAAAAGCATTTAAAAAAAATTAAAGTATTTAACTTTTCAGACAATAGGAAGCTGACTACTTAATACAGAAATGGAACTTTAAACTACCGTAATATCAATTATCAAATACAAGAAAATATTTTTCTCACCAAGTTTCAATAATCATTCTATTCTTTTGATACTAAAAGCATATTATGCTCATAGTTTAAGGATTTTTGTAATTAATTTCAGTTCAATCTGTGGTATTTTAGAGTGAGTTGCAATCATGCTTGCTCCTTTTCAAATGGTTTAAATTGAATTTTTGAAGGGTTTTTCAGATTCTAACCAACATCTTTATCACAAACTCCTAAACATCGAAGATGAATTAAAGAAAAATTATCTGTCAATTTAACGTATTTTGGATTTCAGATTGGTTCTTCCCTTATAGGATATGGGTAATTTCCAGGATATGTCAGTATCTCTGTATCAGTATTCTGTATTATTACACACTATTAAGAACATTTTTTTTTTAAATTTCCAAAGGAAGAGAGATCACACTGTGATGATATTTTATAAGTTCTACCAATCATCATTTTCACTTCTTTAATCAGCACCCTTGCTTTCAAAATACATTTTTTTTTTTACAATTCAGTGCAATTTTTTTTGTTATTATTTCTGGTTAAAACAGTTGATAAATGTATACAATATCTAGGAATCCATACAAACATTCACTATTTTACTGTAAGCCTTATATAGTTACCAACCGTCTCGCATCGTGCAGGACGGTCCCGCATTTCAAAGTGATTTTGGATGAAACACGCATTTTGCAGAAACACATGCTTGATCAGAAATTTGTCACGCATTTAGCACAAGTCTATGCGTGATTAACGAATTACCATGAATTCATAGGAAAATGTATTTAAAATTAGAAGAAATTGGTGTTCTTAAAATATAAAAACGGTCATGCAGTACTGTAGCTTGAGTCATTAGAGCTTTCGTTATCTTGTTCGAGGATCAATTTACCAAGAAAATTTCTCTTTCCCCACCAAAACAACACAGCCAACCATGCAATTAGTAGAATCATCTAGTAATCGCGTGCGGTCTTGTGCGTTCCATTATCGCAACCAACCGCTGATTATGTGACTGGAACCCGGCCTTCCAGGGTTCCGCCACTGACCCCCAGGCCCCCCCCCATTCCCACTCAACTGGTATAGTCATGCATTTCATATCTCTCAGGTTGGTAACAAAGGCTTTAACCCTCTAACTGCTGCAGGTAAATACTGATGTGGGCCTTTTTAGGAAGGTTATTTTGAAATAAATGCCAAAACAAAATACTATATTAAAAAGATGTTATTTTGAAATGTGTTTGGGTGGGAAAGAGGTTTGCCTATGTGAAAAAAATTGAAATTGGGCCATATTGGAAATAACCTTTTTCATAAATCTGTAAAAAAAATAGAAATTCTTATGGGATGCTGTTTATTTTTTTCACTGGAATGGTGAAGATACACAAAATGATTAAAAAGAAAATCAATAGTTTGAATTATTTTCATCATTCTATTCAAAAACAGACAAAAATCCATATTTGTCGGCAGAATTGTGAAAAAAAAATTTCCAAAAAATTGCTGTAAGATGAGTTTTTTGCAACAATTAGCCATTACTCCATATAATTCAGTAGAAATCACCACTAGTTCATAGAGGGTGCCTGCAGTATGGGAACAATTTTAAAAAGAATTACATTCATGCCCCAGTAGTAATGTATCCAACGGGTCGATGTCCGTATCAAGAGCATTGCGGGTGTCTCTCAAAAAGTTTCAAAAGTGGTCCGGGGTGGGGAAGGGGGAAAAATCCTCGAAAAATATGGCAATTAAGGGGTTTAAAACATGGGTGGATCCAGAATTTTTCGAAAAGGGGAGGGGCATTCAGATTAGATAAGTGAGCAGATCTTATTTCAATACATAACACTGATATGCATTTAAATTTTAAAATTAGTGGCAAAAAAAGAGGTCATATGCCTGTCAAAGGTTTATTTAATTGATTTTATGGATAAGAGTATACTAATAAATACAATATGTAGAAAATACACATAATTCTTTTACTCCCTGACGAATTGTGGTTTAGTAAAACTGACAACAATGAGAGGTTCTGTTCTGTGCTACTTACATTTGTTTTCATGCCCCAAGTCTTATCGTCCTTGTAAACAATCGCTGAGTGCGATTTACCATCCTCTTCGACACTGACGGTTATCTCTAGGCAAGGGAACCCCGCCACTGCAGGCCCTGGTTCTACACATGTTTCCAAGTTTCCAGCTTCGACACAGCATTTGGCATACTTATACTCCCATTTTACGTTTGTAGTCGTACAGGTTGTTTCCTCGAAAAAATGTATCTTTAGGTAAGGATTTACAATGAATGCTCCGCAAATGCATAAACTTATGATACATCCGAATGCTAACGAAATGAGCAACGTTATACAACATCGAAGCCTTAGCGTTGGTTTTTGGACCTTCACACTAACCACTCTCACTTGGGAATGGACTCCAGGCATATTCGCACTGGTATCAGTTCCTTTGTCGAAACACTCTTTCGTCTCACTGAACTGATACGATCTCTCAGGTAAAATAGCGTTACTAAAATTTCGTTCCTTAAATGTTCATAATACACAAGTACGAGAATGAAAGAAAAAGTAACTATTGATTATGCGTCAATAAAATTGGTGTTTCTGCGGAAAGAGTACGATCACTACCCTCGCTGCTACTCCAAGTACAGCACTAACTGAATAACTGTTAATGTATGTTTCCTTGTTTGTTGTTTTACAAAAATGGTCAAACTCAAATAGAGGGCAGTAAGAACAAATAGAAAAGTACAGTACAGTACAATTAATTGGATGCCCTGCAGTATTTGGATAGGCCTAGATAGTCCGAACAGTACATTTTTTTAGGATATGAATGATAATGTCAAATAAATGTATAAATCAAATGGATAATAATAAGTGCTCAAATATATAAGAACATGATGTTATAGCGAGAGATCGCCGGTTCGATTTCCACCAGAAACCTCTTTTAACAAGCTTTTGTCGATGAACATGTTTGATACAATTTATAACATCATATTCCGATGTATTTAAGCACTGTATTATTATGTATTTGATTTATACCTTATTTTGAATC